TTTGCTGTCCTCTTGATACTGCAATGGTACGACCGGATAGAATTTCTTCCCCCTATCTGAAATCGTTAAGACGTAAAAAAGAACTCCTTTACAAGCTAGGATTACGTGACAGCCTTAAGGATGTTATCGTTTTAATAAAAACGGAGATTGACAGGCTAAATAGCCTGGTTGTTAGTCAACTTTTAACCTCTTCTTCCTCCCCCCTTTCCCCTTCCTATGCTAAGATTAGGAGGAATCTTAAGCGTCTCACTGGCCATTGCAATAGACTGGTACGTGCGGATGCTGAATTAGACTCCTTAAATAAAAGTTTTATATTCAGTCACAATGACTCCCATCTTTCCCCAGATGACATTCCCCCATCATCGTGTGCATTGCAACCCGTTTCTGTGGCAACAGTAGAGAAACACCTTCAAAAGTTCCGTGGATCAACAGCTGCCGGACCGGATGGTGTCTCGCCCTTTCTTCTTAAATCTTGTAGTTTTCAGATAGCCCCTATTTTAACGCATCTAATTAATATGCCTTTCATGGAGTCCAAGATTCTCGACGCCTGGCGTACAGTGAGAATCACTTCCATCCCTAAAAACCTCTAATTTTCATCCAACTGCCTGCTCCTCCGCACTACTAGAGCTTGCTGAAGCAGTTGCCCTATATATTATAAAGCCTTTTTCTTCCAGTTTTTCCGACCCTTTACAATTTTCATACAAAGCCAAACGGAGTACTTTAGATGCTGTTGCTCTTGTGGTCTATTCTGCTCTAAAAGAATTAGACAAGGGTTGCCGCGAGTACGCATGCGCTTTTCTTGACTACTCCTCTGCCTTCAATACCGTCCCGCGCCCTCTTCTCCTTATCAAAACCTCCGCGTGCGGCTCTCCACGCTGGGTCGTCTCTTGGCTTGGCGATTATTTTTCTTCCCGCACTCAATTTGTCCAATCTGGCAAAAGGAAATCTACTATCCTTCCCAATGACTGCGGTATTCTTTAAGATTTAATTATATCGTCTCACCTTTTCTCCCTCCACACCGACGATCTAAGGTCTCCTATTGACTGTCTTTTGGTTAAGTATGCTGATGATGTGTTTTTGGACACCCTCTCAAAAGTCAGACGCACCTCCAGTCTTTAAAGGATGGCCTAAACCATATCCTAGCGTGGTCGGAGGAAAATGGTCTCCTAATTAACAACCAAAAATCTGTTCAGCGTATTTTTCGACTGCAACCCTCTCCTAACCCTGATTCCTCTGACACTCTTCCTAACAAAGTATCCTCTTTCAGATATCTCGGCGTTACTTTGTCCTCAAATCTTTCATTTTCCCTCCACGTTGAGTATTTATTTGCTAAAGTTCGTAAACGTCTTCATTACATACGTCGTTTGCGTTCCTACCACACTCCTCAACCCTTAGTCTGGCGATTCATCGATGCCTGCATTCTTCCTCTTATCCTATACTGCTCTCGTGTCATTTTTCCTGCTTTGCTTAAAAACGATCTTTTAATTTCGAAACTAGTCTTCCGCATGCTCTATTTTGCTGCTGGTGGTGTTTCACTTCTTTTTAGTCTACACTATCATACAACGATATTTCAATATGGATAAGCAATTTTCTGGTCGGATTATAGATGACCTTGCCCATCTCTTGCACACTGATCTTATTTCTGCGAAGTCTGCCCACCCGATGCGCCGCAGCTTCCGACTTATGTCTTGTCGCACATCGGCTTTTCGAGCTTCTGTATTGCCATTCCTGGCGCGCCGTCTTACGTGCGGAGAGATATGAATACAGGAGCTAAGACTTGAACTATCCTCATAATAATAGTTTCTTTTGTGTTAAACTTTGACTCTTGAATAATCTTTTAATTAATTTACTGCCTATAGTAAATGGAGCCAATTTTTTGCTGAAAATTTTAAGTTTATGATTTCAAAATAAAGCGACTTCCTCTTTCTTTCTCTCTTAGATAGAATGAGCTTAAATACCTAAGTCCATAGGGAAGTGCAAGTTGCTTTCTGTGTGTTTTATGCATGTTACAGCGCAATATTCATATGACTACCGCTGTGTATGTTGTATCAGTATGGAGGTAATGTAGACAACGGCAGGGTGTAGGACCCACCTTATCTGTCGATAGACCGTGCATCGTGTCATACGGGGTTTTAGGGGTGAGTAGCACTCCAGACAGCAAGCTGACGAAGTGTAAGAAAACACAGACATTTTCTGGATTTCTTCCGAAAGTCTTATCATACGCTTTCAGACGACAACGAAAACGAGCGCGTTTATTAAAAAAATAAACAAAAAGGACATTTTCGGAGAGATAATGGAGTTTGAGCAATGCTTTGAAGTCATGGGAAGTGACTGTTATCGGCAGTGCAGTGTCTGCTACGGCCTACAGATGGATGCCAAGATAAAATCCCATATGACACGATCCACAGTCTACCGGCAGTTAAGCGGAACCCTGCGCCACACCGCTGCCCTTCTTCCAGTAGAATATCCCTTATCCTACCGTCGCCAGTAGTGTAATCTGCGAATTCCTCTAAAACTGGCCGAAAGGGTTGTAGAAGATGGTGATAGTCTTACGCCATGCAGTCACACTTTCTAGAAAACGGAAAAGTGGTACCGCAAACCACCATCTTACTCAATAATAAATACCGTGGTCGAAATACACGTTGGCCGAAGAAGGATACATTCGCATTTGATTTGTCACGCTGACCACACAGGTAATCTGTTTTGCGCAAGTCCCGGATTCAGTGAGCATACAAGTCAACGGACAAACCGAATGCTCAAAGCAGGCTTCAGTCTGGGTACCTGTTAAACAGAGAGGATATGTCAAGCTCTCTCATCTTATCCAAATGTGACAGATTTTTTATATCATTAACCACCATCGCCACCTTGCGCTGTACCTGATCGAGTATGCCAAGCCAGTTCTTCATCCACAGTGTTCGGGCTGGCATTTCGCATTTCAAATGGTTTCGTATAAAGACACCGAAAATGTTTACAACTTTCTCCGGGGAATTGTTTTGATTGAATACCTGATTCGGCCGAATGAACTTTTTATGGTGTTCTGACGGCCCCAACTAATGACCAACGGAGTGGCACAAAAGCCAAACTTTATTGCCTTTTGCAGTTCGCATAACAAACATAAACCTCTTAACATAGTCAAAAAGGTAGACGCACAGAACCTTCTACCGCTGATGGATCCTGGTGGGTGATTGTGGGACATTTCAAATGTCAGAATTTACAATGTCTACTGCGTGTACCGAATGCGCGCGGGACAGCTGAATGGCGTGTGAACCAGTTTGTTACCAATATAAACGAAGATAGGAGTCCCAGTAAGCAGTCTTGATAAAGGAGACGCGATCGCTGGAACAAGAGTTTTATTAGCCTGGCGTTTCGGATTACCGCTCGAACCCATCATCAGAGACAAAAAAGCAGATACGGGTGGTTCATGCACAAGGGGCTGCAGTATTTATAGGATGCAGTTGACATGCTACCGCATACCTATGAATATTCACGCTCCCCCCTTTCATCAGGGACTGTTGCACTTGGCGTGCTGGCAATTTGATGGCCGACATTGGCGTCCTTACTTGCTGCAATTTCATCACGTGCGTTGGATGTTGGTGTGATGATTGCTCGACCATCTGACCCACGGGCCCTGGGGTTGGTAAAAGTGTTCACTTGTGCACTCCCCGAGTGGCTAATTACTCCGCCTAGGCGAAGTCTCAGCCCTGAGTATGGAAGGGGAAGATCATTGCACTTGTTAATTGTCCGGGGGTCAGTAAACCATGACTTAAGCAGCTTCCGACTTACGCGTTTGTCACCTCTTGCGCGAATTTCGACCCCGTTGACTTTAAATATGTGGCCGTATCTCGTTGAATGCGCCGCAAATTGGGAGCTGGCGTCGTTTCTCCGCATCGCTGCAGCGTGTTCGGCCATTCACGTCAGGAGCTGTCTTCCGGTTTCTCCGACGTAGTTGCTTTGCCCGCAACTGCATCAGATCAGATAAACGACTCCCGACGTTTCTTGCCGTGGCAGCAGATCTTTCGGTTTCATTATCTCACGCCTAATGGTTGTCCTTGGTCTGTGTGCAACTCCAACCTAAAATGGCGCGAGAAGGCGGTCGACAGCTTCCGAAACGTTCTTGACATAAGGAAACGCTTGTTAGATGTGACAACCGCGTGAGCCGGGAGCTACTTGAATCATGGTTTACGGGCCCCCAGTCCATAAACAAGTGCAATGATCTTCCCCTTCCATACTCAGGGCTGAGACTTCGCCTAGGCGGAGTAATTAGCCACTCGGGGAGTGCACAAGTGAACACTTTTACCAACCCCAGGGCCCGTGGGTCAGATGGTCGAGCAATCATCACACCAACATCCAACGCTCGTGATGAAATTGCAGCAAGTAAGGACGCCAATGTCGGCCATCAAATTGCTAGCACGCCAAGTGCAACAGTCCCTGATGAAGGGGGGGGGGCGTGAATATTCATAGGTATGCGGTAGCATGTCGACTGCATCCTATAAATACTGCAGCCCCTTGTGCATGAACCACCCGTATCTGCTTTTTTGTCTCTGATGATGGGTTCAAGCGGTAATCCGAAACGTCAGGCTAATAAAGCTCTTGTCCCAGGGATCGTTTCTCCTTCTCCAAAAATCCGTTTATACTGAGATAGATTTAGGCAGCATATACCACACCATTTTCTCCGTCAGCCCGACTCGAGTTGAGCGCCGGCGCGGTGACTAGCAATGTAAACTAACGCGTCTACGCCGACCACACGTGACTGGGCCCCGCCGCATGTGCCGGGATGCGTTATGGGAGGCTCGGAGTTAGGGGATACCTAGGAATGCCAGAAATTCCACAGTGAGATTGAGCCATTTACTGTAAGACGGACACCGCAAGCATTGATGTGTGTAGAATTTAAATGGGAAGTAAGTTGTCACTTTTTTAAAAAATGCCTATTTTGTCCTCTTTTATATGTCAGGGCAGCGTTGTCGCAGGGTCAATTCACATAATCACGGTAGGTGAATGTCCTAGAATTGTTGACTGACGATCTTGAACCTCGTGGCATTCACAGTTTCTGGATTGAGGTAGTAAGTACTTGGTTCTGATTCGTTGTCATCAACGATTGCAAAGGGTGCCTCGTAGGCCGTTCCATCCGCGTCGATCTGAATGAAGATGAAAGTCAAATTTGCCGTCTACCGGAAATGGGGCTTTTTAAAATATGAGGAGGAAAAATTAGCCACTTATGCGTTGTCATACAGAGCTTAAACAAATATGCTGTTTACATTCTGAACTAGGGCAGAAGATAGATTCGCGAGTTAGCGTTGGTGAAATAAACATCGACCATAGTGGCTTACATACTGAGGAAAAATCTTGCAGATCAATTTATTCACAGTTTCTGTTCACCATCGCCGCTTGATATGGGAATCACAGTGGAGTTCAAGCATATAAGACGCAGCAAACCGTACTTCTCACTCATTCTTCAGACGAAACGACTGCATGATGGGTTGCGGTATGCTTTTGGTGGTAGTAACCGTAAAAAGGGAATAAAATCTGTCTATACAGAGGTCTGCATTAGAGGGAAGTTTATCACACAACCAACATTAAGTAAGTGCCTCGTTTAATTTCCGAGGAACAGATCTTTTCAGGCACCGCCCGAAATTTTATATGAAATCCATCAACTACTGCGGAATAACCGGGTAATACTCACAGACCGCCAAAAGGTAGCGGGCATTTAGTGGCAGTTCGCGTCTCCTCGCCCTCCGCCTTTGTCACGCTGCCGTCCTGTCCGCCCCACACTCCGTGCCGATACGCTGCTGGGACGCGCGAGTGCTAAAAGCCAATCAGCGCTGTCCCCACTCTGATTGGCTGGCGACGTGGAGACAACGAAAGTGCACATACGCGCGGACACAACACCTCGAAGGCGGACACAGACAACAGCTTGCTTGGAGCGCGCTCGCGGCGACTGCCTACGGAGCCCTTGTGTACGCACGTCCTCAGGCAGTAAAGGTTGTCCAATTCAAACCGTCTTCACTGACTTTCGATTGGGAATCTTTATCTTGTCGACCACACATCATTCGACAAATTTAGAGATGTGTAATTATTTACCGCACTGACCACGTGGGTAGTAGGTACAGTAAATAATCACATAATTAATAAGTGTATGAGTATTCTTCTTGGACAGCCGACAAAATAGCAGATAAACCGTGGAAATATATGTACGCAGCTGTTGGTTCGTAAAAGCACCGATGAAACCGTTGCATTTACTATATAATGTATTATGGTAATAGCGCGGATCTCAGGGAACACTTTTGGAGCAAACTAAATTCCTTTTCGACCTAGACTCAATCTACTATAGACAAATACGTTGGGACGGTGCACGCCGCTGACCATTATTCAGTCATTTGGTTGATTCCTTGCGTATCTTGACTCACCATCATTTACGTTTTAACTGTTATGCATCTTTCAGTCAAGAAATTTGTTATAGTAAATGAACATCCAGTAGACGTAGCAAGGATTTACAATGGCGCACTTTTTAGCAATCCAAACCTTCGTGTATTTATCAGAACTGCGTCAAGCTAGTCAAAAAGTTCTAGCATGCCTTATATATGTGGATGAGGTGATAACGACAAAGACAAGGGAGACCGGTTGTGGCCATTTCTGGCTTATTAACTGTCGCCAGCCAGTCATATCCAATTCCAAGTGTGAACCACCTGGGATTTGAGCCCGGGATCTTTGGTCATTCAGCCGAACGCTCTACCAATGAGCCACGGGCTAGTTGTCCCGTCGCCATATCAAGGGTGACGACGAGAATCCTGAAACCTTTTGGGATTGACGTGGCTCATAAACCAGAATGCACCATCAGACAGCAAATCATGAAGCCTAAAGACCCGCTACCAACAACAGAACAGTCGGCGGTGGTCTACAGCATACCATGCCTAAATTGCAATGCGAGGTATGTTGGTGAAACGGGCAAACGCCTCGGTACAAGATCGCACGAACACCAACTTGCAATCAGCCGCAAGGACAAGCTGTCTTTGGTCTATGGCCACATACAAGAACTGAACCATGATTTTGCCTTTGAGAAGGCGAGGGTAATTGTTCGAGCCAATGAGAAGATGGCCAGACTGATGCTCGAAATTTGGTCCTCGACTAGCACACTCAACCGAGCTATAGATCTACATCCCGCCTACCAGGCGCTGCGTGCAAGTCTCGGATCAGTCCGGACAGGACCAGTAAGGCAAGCTAGCACGCGGGACCGAGAGTCAACGCTCACGGAAAAGAGCGGAGTTGGGGGCCAGAGGTCATGTGACCAATGCCGAACACTGTCTCACCGATGCGCCCGAGAAGCCAAATGCTGCTCACAAGAACAGCAAGGACCGATCAGTCCACCGACTGACGTGGGAGAGGCCAAGCGGCAAGTTGATTTGACTACAATTACGCCGCCCCCAAAGGGAACAAAGGTCCGCAGGCCTGTCAGCGGTCAGCCCCGGGGAGGTCTAAGCCAGTCAACGGCAAACAGGCAGGTCAAAGTTCGTGCGTCGAGCACGGCTGTAATACGAGGCAAGCGGCAAGACTGAACAACTCAAGACCGGCAGGAGCAAAAAATACGTATATTTATAGTGCTCTAAAAGCGTGTACTACGCCAGTATCGGCAAACCATGGCTCTCGCAGCCTAATATACGCTGGCAGCTCTCTGACATCTGGTTCCGTGATGGAAGGTGCGCTTGCGCTCCCGCTGTGTATACAAATGTTGGATATGGCTGCCTAGTATCCTCGTCCTTCTAACCCCCTGTTGGGGTATTGTTGTTGTTAGTGAAAAATTCTGGTCAGGTGTATGTCGTGGACCAGGGGATGTGGTGGCACACCTAGATGCGGGTCCGGCCGTGCCAGCCACCTGAAACCTTCCCTATTTCCGGTCGTCTGGACTGTGTCTTGACACCGGGACCAGGTGGGGAGTGGGGAAGAGAGAGTGCGGTAGATGCGGCGCAAACTTAATAGCATTATAAATTAATTCACGCGCAAGTGACCGTGTCAGGTCCACCTTGCAGGGTAGCACGCGACGGACATCGTCTGAGTCGACGATCGTACTGTCCACATGTATATAGGTGTGGCTGACTGAGGACGTCTTTTAGGTCAGAAACTGTCCTCCTAGTCTCCCCTAGTTGTTATTACTACTGCATTCCGCATAATTACTATTCACTGTGTGACTGTCTGCAAAGGCCCTAGTGGAACCCAAATGTTCAATAGGACGAACGTATATCGTAACTTGACCTGTTGATGCCCGTTCAACGGTGCACGCTATTGTATTTACTTAGTAATTGCAAAACGAAAATGGCTGCTGACAACGGAAGTTCAGTTGCACAAAACAGATTTCGACCAGAATGGGACACAGGAAATTTCTGTAGTGTCCTTATCAGTGAGACATTTGAACTTCAAAAGTTCGATTTTCATACTCGGCCGATTTGCTTAAAAATTCGACAGCGTGTACTAAAAAACGGTGTCTCATAATTTATTATGCTCAGACATTGCTATCGATTAAGCACAGGAATTTAACTGGCCTCAGCAAGAAAAAGTATAAAATGTTTAAAATATTACCATCCGAAATAACCACATTACGCAGCGAAAATGCCCTTGTAGTTTTACATTTTAAAGCGTTTTAATTAACTAATCAGATCTTTGCATGAAAACACTCCCTTCACAATGTTCTCGGTGACTCCTTTATAGCCACCCATCCCAAAAAATTTGCATAACGTTTTAGTGTCTAAACATCTTACCCGTAGGTAGTAATCACACACGAAGTCCTCGCACCACACAGAAGGCGTTTGAGATGTTAGTTTTAAGTTTTTACATTCGAAGAGCTGCGTGAACTTGGGGGGTATCTTCGCCCTGGGCGTCGCCCTCTTGTACTCCTTGATAACCGAGGATGAATTAGGTGAGGACTGCGGTAGAAGGGTCAGCGTTGGGGTCACTCGGACCTCCTCCTCCTCCTTTGCGGTCGATGGAAATTTCGTCCGTCTTAGGACCACAGCCTGGATGCTCTCATACTGCGGGTAGTATCCGTCTGTTGTTTGAGCCAACGCAAAAGACAGTCCGTCTGTACGCTCAAGAACTTTTTTTGGAATCTGGCAATAGGAAACATTTGTCAGTTAGTGAAGAAAGCCCTTGACAGAGTCTCGTGAGAAGATTTTTTTCTTGCTTGTTTATAATGTGCATATTCGACAGAAAGGTAGCATTAGCTTTAGTTGAAATCAGCCACGTACACTCTCTCCTTAGTCGGAAGCAAAGTCACAAGTAACGGTCACAGTTTATGTGTTTTTGATGTTTGATTTAGAAGTAAATATCCAATGTTACAACTATTCCTTTAGATAAAATTCTGCACAGACACCTTATGCAAATCTGAGGAAAGAAGATGAATATGAATTTTGCGGTTCCCTTAATGGTGGCGGTGGGGCTGTAAGCTTTTAAACTGCTAGACACAAACAAAATACCAATACAGGCGCCAAAAGCTGCGTATCAAGGTTTCTACCCTAAGAATTGTGCAATTTAAACGCTACTATCCGCTAATGTAATCCTAAGTACACGTCCGCGCATCGAATCTTTACGATTCTCTTTATATTTTCCTTACTTACCACGTCACGCAGTGTAAACCGTGTACAGAATCCAACGTCTTACAGAACACAGGGCTCTTGTGCAGCTTCAAAATCTGCAACTTCAGGGTACGTATTACAGAAGTACTGTATACTGACATACAGATAAGGCAAGTTCCGTATTAAAAGGCGACTCATTCTAATAATTCGGTTTTTTGCGCGAAAAACCACAATTCGATTCGCGATTTAAAAAACCATTTCCGCAAGTCTCTAAACATACAGTAAGTGGGCTAGCTCAGGGAGCGTTAACCAAAATTGCGAAATGCGTTTTCGTTTCGGAAAGATTAATTAAGTAGGGTTGTGACAATGATCATCATACAGCATAATTCTTTAATAATTCAGTTACCACAAGAGGCCGGCTTTCGAAAGAACTTCTTTCCGGCTGCATGCAAAAATCATACTCCATAAAGGATGACCACTTAAGTAACATGCATTTTTGCCGTTGATTTCCAATGCCCCCTAAGCATTCAATTATATTTCCTGGAAAACATGCCTAAACTGTTTATTCTTTAATTTTTTTCAGAAATTCGCCTCTTTTTTCAACTTTACACCCAAAAAAAGGGATAATTCAGTTTCAAAAAGTTTCTAATCGAGATTTGTAATACCGTGAAATGGCCGTTCTTAAAACGTCATGTCTCTGCATTTACCAATGTGGCTTGTAAAGCTAACAAAATGGCTCAAATTCACGGCTAAATTTTTGGAACCTCATATGGTTTCCTCCTAATGCCGTAGAATAATGTGTGGTTTTCCATAAGCTGAAAATAAACGGCTTGTAATTTGATAACCCCGAATGTAAGTGTAACGGCAGGTCGGGACTCAGCATTATTCGGAAACTGTAAAAGTTTTTGAAAATCGAATGTTACCCTACTTTCGAGTGAAAAACAGGAAGAAGACTTATATTACTGCCAAATGAGTAAAAGAAGGAATATTTTTATGCATGTTTTCCATGAAACATAATTGAATATCTAAGGGTATCGAAAATCAATGGGAAAAATTCAAGCTAGCTAGTAGTCATTTTTTAGTGTGGTCTCTGCATGCAGCCGGAAAGAAGTTCGTTCGAAAACCGGCATCCTGAGTTAACTAAATTATTATAGAGTTATACTGCGAGATGATTGAAGAATTTCCTCTGTGCGGATCACAGGCTACCCTGGTGGCTGCGAAGGATTTTTTCGATTCAGCGTCGCCAGCTTCTCTTTGAAGGCCCTTTTCCTTGCTTGCGAATCAGTTGTCGCAAATCAATCCTAGCTCCGGCAGCTGGAGAAAGCAGAATTTTCTTCTCTGTGCTGCCGACGGCCGAAGTCATGTCCTCATTGCCAAAATGGTCCCGGCGTAGTTGACATGACTTGCGATGATACTAGCAGGAAGAACAGCTATCTGGTGATGTTGAGTTTGATAAGAAAGTCGACTCCAATCTCTCATCACAATCTCCTCATCACAGTAGTCCCGGAACAAGATGTATCCTACCCCTACATTGTCAATTTCTCTTCGGTTTGCAAAACGAGCCTTGGCAGTTCTACCGTCAATTTCGACGATGTCCACTATGTGTTACGCACCAAGGTACAACAGGCACGGTGACTTTCGCGTGAATTAGTTTATAGTGATAGTAAAGTTGGCAGCAAATACCTCACTATCTCCTCCCCACTCCTCACCTGGACCCGATGACAAGACAGTGTCAAGAAGACCGGAGGCGAAGGAGGCAAGGGTGGTTCGCACGGCCGGACCCGCGCCTAGGTACGTCACCAAACCCCCTGGTCCACAACATGCACTTGACCACGATTTTCCACCAACAACACCCCGAGAGGGGTCAGAAGGACGACGATGATGGCTGAGCAACCATGCCCACCACCTGGATATCCTCCGAGGGCTCAAACGCATCTAACGACAGAAAACCAGGTGTCAGGATACTGCCAGCGCATACCAGGCTGCGCGGATCATGGTTTTCTGATACCAACATAGCACACGCTTTCAGACCTTTTGACCTACGAGTGCGACACGTGGCCCTGCATTTAGCCTGGGCTGTCACCCTTCAAGGTTAGATAACCAAACAGTCGTCGACTGAGAGGCCCTACCCAAAAAGCACACGCACTCGACTCACATGCATGACAGTGTAAGAGATCGCCTGAGAAGTGCCGTGACAGCCAGACTCTCAGCCCACCAGTCCGCCACTACACACAACTTGGCAGACTGCGTGGACTGATTTGGGGCGTCAGTGGACGGCCTTCCGAGTCGCGGTGCTCGACGCGTCGTTTTCCTCTAAGATTCTGACCACACATGTAGGATAGGAGCCGCACGGGGACGGAGCCGCATGGAAACGGGCATTACTTTATCTAAACATCTCGTAGCTGAGCATATCTTTTGTGCTCACTGGGTGGCTTAAGAGGAGGTTGGTTAAAAGGCGACAGACTTTTTAGGTTGCTAGAGGGCTGCACCTCAGTTTGGCGGATGGGAATTGGATAGAGAGAGGTTTGTTTGAGGCATTTCAACGACCTGTATAGCATGCAACCAAACGGCCAGTCGGCTAGACAACGCAAACGAACATTGTTAGATAAATGTTAGCCTCAAAAATAGGTGTGGCGAGGAAACGATTCCGGCGGGAGGGAGGGGCAAGCGGGGGGTTGCTGATGGTTAAAGTCATGTCGTTTTTGTCAAATCAGTCCTGGTTTAGTAAACGTGGAGTGTGATGAGACCACCGCGACTTTCCTTTGCGAGGAAGAGCAGCTAATTTCAAAGAAATTAGTAGGCAGCAATAAATAATGCGCAGAGTTGGGTCGCCTATTGCGTCCTTTCCAGCGCGGCCCCCTGATGATGTTAAAGTCAATAACTAGGGCGACTCCAATCCATCATACTTTTCTCGCATCACAGTAGTTCCGAGGCGGACGCATCCTTTCCCTGAACGGCTAATCTGTCTGCGAAACAGCCCTCATTGTACTAGTAGTGAAAGTGCGATTCCAAAGTGGCATATCAAAAGCAGGCGTTTGCCTGCAGGGATTTATTATATGTCTGACGTTACGAGTAGTTACTTCGTCTACCCATCTTCAAAGACTGGGAAGTCATGAGCACAGCTCTCCTTATATGGCTTCACTCTAGTTAACCAACTCGTATCTGGCCAGAATTTTCCCGAGCTCCGGGCGGTTGGAGATTGGGCTGTTCAAAAGCGATCAGACGTCTGAGGTTGTCAGGATGAAGGACCTTATTCTGGGAGAGGGGAAGGAGAGGAGATGGGGACAGTTATTGACTGTGGTATTTCGATAATCTGTATAGCATCCAACGCAACGGTCAGCCGAGTAACTAACGTGAACAAACATTTTTGGAATGTATTTTTCATCTCCCAATTAGGCGTAGTGAGAAAACAGCCCGCATTTACCGGCCAGCGAACGAAACAGACGTTCTCTGTTTTGTTGCTGTTTGGCATCTAAACGCATTTCTGTCAGGTCTGAACTCCTGAAGAGGCTCTGCAGCCCTAAAAACTCGTACTGTGTCCGGTTGAAGGAGCCAAAGTGACCGACATCGGTCATTGCACAGGTCCCCTTCTGCAAGCATGCTCTTAAAACAGGGCTTGACTCCGATTTATCCCCCTAGGATTATGCAGTCACCTCAGAGCACTCTCGCTGTGGGTTTAGGGACTTTCCACCAAATCCGATAGAGTAAACTGACTGCCCAAACAGGATTTCCTGAGTAATTCATCTCGAATCCACCAGATGGCTACTAGGCTCACGTAATACATAGATGTTTTGGCAGATTTTGAATAATTCATATTGATCAAACTATCTAGGACAAGTTACCTGTCCAACCTACTGCAACGTCGGGAATCCACCAAATCTGCTATAGTAAGCTGTCTGCTGTTGTAGTAGGGTAGGCGGGTAACTTGATTTCAATAGTTGGGTCAATATGAATTATTCAAAATCTGTCAAAACATCCATGGATTTCCAAAATTTGTTATTTTGTGGTGCTTTCACTAAACATGGGACTCTTTCGCATACCCATTCATATGACATAGTGGTTGTCCTCTGTGATCGGCTGACTTTTAAAATAACCAGACGGGAAAAAGCGTAAACATTTGAAGAAGGAAAACGAAATTACGCAAACAAAGTTGTTGCTGTCAAGAAGGCCGATAGATCCTTGGGAGTTGCAGACGCTGAGAACCTGAAAAGTCAGTCTGTCTGTGCTTTCAGTCACCCCATTCATTTGTGCTGTTGCCGCTAAAGAATAACTGAAAGGCAAAAGGACTTACAATTATCGATTGCCTGAAGAGTAAATGATGATCAGAAATTGTAAACTGTGAATTCTGCCATGAAATGCATGCAAAATGCCCTTGCTTTTTACAAAGTCTGATGGCCGGTAAACATGTGTCGCCGATAGTCGTTAAACAGGTATTCAGTTTCAGGTCGAGCTGACTTTTTCAATGGATGTAGACGGATGCGTTGAGCGACTGTATAGTCGATTTAGCAGCGGCATCAGCCCACGCATACGTCTACAGTCATTGTCCCTCACGCACACGTTGGTTAAAAAACCCTTTACGAAGAAAATATTAGGGTGCATGAAAACTGTGGATGCTAGTACTTTGCCTGAGCCTGTCAGCGTTTGTTAAGCAATGTCTTCTTATGACCGCTGTTCGCTCCGAACCAAAAAATGTGCTTTTATGCGTACTGACAGGAGTACTGAACTGATATTTCGTTGCAGTAGTTTAATTTACTCGGTGAACCTTGTCACTGTCCACATAGAATCGGCTTGCGCCAATTTTAAACGCCTGAGTGGTCGGGCTCTGGTGACCGAGGCAGGACTGACAAAAACCTGGCTGGTCAACACAGTTTCAGGCTACCCACTGTGATACCATAGGAACCACTTAAGTCAGCGGTAATAGGGAAGGTACGGACAAGGAAAATGAGGACTGGGAAAGTCATTTCGGCTTACTAGTCCTCAACGACCAACTATACCTGAGCTCAGGTCCGGATGACCCAGGATACCGAATGCAGATTATTTGGTCACTGGGCGTTTACAGGACGTACGCTCTACCGTCGCCGACCCACGAACAGGTTGTCCTACTGGTTGCGATCAGAAGCACTCATTACGGTAGTGCGGGCCTTAAACGACGAAGTTGATATAGTCCTTTTTTAATATTTTTGTTTATACACTACGCTTTATAGTTATTCTATTTGTTAAGCATTTCCTAAACCAACATTTACTCATTTTCTTTAAGTGGGTCTTTATGTAACATTCACGCGGAGCCTACAACTGGTGTGTTTCGGCTTAACTAACTGTTTTTTTCACCTTTTACCTTTGTTTTTATTTGGGCCATGTAGACAGTTAAGTCCGTTCTCGTGTGGTCATTTCGTTTGGCCTTTCCCGACTTGGTCTTAATGTGGGATCACATTATTGATCGTCTATGTTCGCTTAAAGTTTAGGAGACATACTCACCCCATTAAATTTAGAAATTTTGCAGACAGTCGCATGGCGATCGGTAATAAATGTAAGAAGTGATACCGGCACTACCGGGGAAGACTCTGTTAATACTTTGTCTGGTAATTAGAGGGGGAGCAGGCGGGAGGTTTAAACATACTGATTTATGATATCTGAACCATCCTTGGGTGACACGTAGGTAAAACTGTGGAGTTCATCCTCAGGTACCCGGACGCTGAAGCGAATTTCATGCCTCCCAGGTGGTAGTTGTATTCTCCTGTTAAGCACATTATTGCTGGTGACTTCAAAATCACGGCTATCAATCACTTTAGCCCTCTTTCTTTGGCCCGTTCGATCTTCCAGTAAAGTCAGTTCCTGCGAGTCCATGCCAGTAAGCTGAAATCAGCAAAAGTCTATTTGTATTTCGACAGTAATCATTTCGAAAGGCAAGAATTGAAAATAAATTCAATATCCTAATCGTTATCTGCAACCACTGAAATCTCCCCGCAGCTGTTAAATCTGTAATATGACAAACTCTGACGATAAGAGATGATCAATCACTTTGTGCTTAAGAAGAACTTTGCTACATCTAAAATTTCTCTTCTCAATGTCTTAAGTGTCATAAAAGTTTCAGTTTACGGGTCCTGTTGAAGAAACCGAAAATTTTCAAAGGGAATTCTGCAGCTTTTCTTCAACTTTCCAGAGAAGATTGAAAATGTCATTGAATTTGACGATGAAGAAGGTCCCCGAAATGTTTTTTTTGAAATCTGAACCGCAACTAACATTAGACTTTCTATAAGGGTACCTAAAAACAAGGGTAACCTCAGTAAAAAATTTCTAATCTTAAGCACTGCTAATTGGTAGTCCTTTAGCCCTAAATATTGATTATCCGTGATCCAAATTATCGGCTATATGACCAAACTTTGCGATTAATTTTCTGACTCGTTGTTCACCCGACTCCTATCGAAAATGCTGATCATTCTGGAACTGCTGTTTCCCCGGTTTTACTTGCAGATAAAAGACGTTCGGACATTTTACTCTCGGATTCAAGTATAAGGCCCGATATCTGTGCACAAGACGATGTGCAGAAGAAGAAATGCAGTTGATGACCATTTCTCACTTATCGTCCAGCTAGTCATTTTGCATTATTTCTTTTTCAAAGAGCTATACACTGGAAACCTGCGGCAAAACGGATCGGACATGCTCTATATTCTAACCAGAACGTTTCATATGTATGCTGCATAAATAATTAAATTAAACGATCGGACATGGATTGTGAACGCGCCATGATAAATGGCGCAAGACCACCTGCAATACAGGAATGGTGGTAATAAAGACCTTCGAAGAGGGGAGAAGTGGACTTCAGATACAGTAGGTGGGTTAACTCATGATATGTCAACCGAAATTTTGAAATACGTTTTCGTTTCGAAAAGACTAATTAAGTAGAGTTGTAGAACTAATCACTGTGCAGCGTAAAGCCATACTATTTCAGTTACCCCAGGATATCGGCCTTCGAACCAACTTCTTGTCGGCGGCATTCAAGATCTTTATTGTGTATAAAATTGCTACTTGGCACATTCCCGAATAATTTTAAGCCGGACCTGCCGTTACACATGCATTCAGGGTTTCGAAACAACAAGTTGCATATTTTTCACGTACGGAAAACCACACATCTCTCTAAGATAATAAAGGAAGACCACATAATGTTCATAAAATTAAAAATTTGGATTTGGTCCATATTTTTAATTTTAAAAACCTTATCGGTATATGAAAAGACATGGCGATTTATGAACAGCCTCTTCACGGTATTTAAAAGTCCTACAATTAGAAACCTTTTTAAAACCGAATTATGCCCCTCCTTTGAGAATACACTTGAAAGAAGACGTGTCTATCGAATGAGCAAAATAATGAATATTTTTATGCATGTTTTCCATGAAAGATAATTGGAAATTTAGGGACATCAAAAATCAACGAGGAAAAGTCATGATAAATAAGTAGCCATTTTTTAGTTTAGTTTTTGAATGCAGCCGGATGGAAGTTCATTTGAAAGCCGGCATCCTGAGGTAAATGAAGTATGATAGAATTATGTTGCAGGTTGATTAGTTTTAGAACCCTGCTTAATTAATCTTTTCGAAACGAAAATGCATTTCGGAATCTCGGTCGATATTTCATGAGTTAGCCCATTTACTGTATTTCCACCGCATACTTGTTTTGATGCATTAAAAAGGGCACGTTGTATGAAGATAGATGAGGGATGCACCTATATCCTTGACTAACAGATTACTCTAATTTCCAAAGACCATATTTATATTTGAGACTTATCCTGATGTTGAATTTTAAATACGCTTCTTTGGGACCTCTTGGAAAAGCTGTCCTCGGTAAAAATTACTACTTTTGTAGTGTGTCGTTTTTCAAACCGATTTTCGATGGTTCTAGAAATTAAAATATATAGAAAAAATGCACAAAAATGCAATTCCGTCTGCCCATTTGGTAGCACATCACGCCGACTTTACAGTTTGCACTCGAAGGAAGAACGCCTTCCGGGTTTGAAATACATCTAATTATATGTTTTTTAAGACCGTGCAATTTCCATTCATAAAGCATCGCACCCGTGCTCGTATTATTGCTTCTCATGCAATATACAACGCAGTCCGCATTCTGGAATTAGCAAAATTTCCAAAGGCTAAATATACGCTTTCTTCGAGTGCGAAGTTTGAGGTCGGCGTGATATGCTACTAAATGAATAGCAAAAAGTGCATTTTTGCGCATGTTTTCTATAAAATATGCCTGAATTTTTAGGATTATCAAAAATCGACGTGAAGATTGCACACCACTTAAGTAGGCATTTTTACCAAGATTTGTTTTTACAGGAGGTCGCAAAGAGGTTTATTCAAAAGACAATATCATGGTGAATTTCGAATATCATAAGATTGTACCCCACAATAATCAAAACTACAACCGAACCTAAGCAATCCTTTCTAATATAAAACGCTTTTCAGAATCGCAGCTAAAATTTACTGAGTAAATGTACAATGCGCGGACCATTCCCAATATTCCCAAGGTATTGGCTCCAATGTTCGATCAAATGCAGAAACGCATATAAGGATTCATTTCTGATGAGCACTCCGTATAACTGCAAAATGGATTCCTCGAGCACTACAGACTTTGGGTAAAAAAAACTACCAGCAGCCATTGATCAAGTTAGTAATTTTTTGACTAGACTTTAGTTTGCGCGGTAACGCCTGCGCTAACTCCAGTGATACTTCACGTCGGGCGAAGCGTAACGAAACAGTCAAAGTAGCGAAATGACAAAAGTGAGAAAAAATTGTTTACACAGCGTGTATGTCTGACTTTAATCAGAGATACTCATGTCACTTATGTCCGCTAGAGGTCGCCTGATTTGCCTGCCCATGGCTAGACGTCATCGGGGTGAACAGTCTGGCACAGGTAATTCGAAGTTACATTCCGGCAGCCCATTAGAAGTACAGGTGCCACGAAGTCATTAGCACTGCCAGCCCGGTAAAATTTGACGGACGAAGCAAATCAGACCCAGCCATGGCTTTCCAGACTACGTATATTGTTCTTATTTGCTGGGGTTTCGTGAAATGAGGCATAAAACCTCCGGTTACCAACCTCAGAAAGTCTTCCCGTGCTGTCAGTGTGAACGAAAGTTTGGTTGAGATTGAGGACTAATTTCGACAGGTCTACTGGTTTCTCTGTATCGAAGAAGACGCGACCGTGGAGGTGGTCACCAGGTCGCACTGTGCGTTCTCCAATTTGCAGCCTGAGCTCGTTGACCTGGCTAGCAAGTGGGGTATCCGGTTCTGGACGCCAGGCGGTCGTTTCTACCCACGAATCGGAGTCACTCGGCGCGGCATCTGCAAGTACTGAAGGGCGGAATGGTTGAATATGGCGAAGGCTTCGTGTCGTGCTTTAAAATAGCGAAAGGAATTGTAATACAAAAGCAAACGCAGTCTGTTTTTACAGACGGACGGATGTCCAAGGCTCCATAATCAGAAAATCAATGTTTATTGAAAA